CTTTAGCTCCAAATGAGATTCCTACTGGCAAAGCTTTAAAGGTGCTTTTTTTGGCATCAATTTGCAGTAAGTATCCATTTTCAACATGCCATATGTATATATATATGAAATATTTTCTTCCAAAATTGTTAAGATGTAGAAACAGATGGGATTTTCTTTGTATGCCTTGAAACATCATCTTCTACTCTCTGGAAAATGTGCCCATCTTGTCCTCTGAGGGACACCAAGGATGGCAACTATCCCAAGCCCTGTGTCCGGGGTATCCAAATGACAAGAAGTCAGCCACCCTCCCCTCAAAAAAGACTGAAATTCCCAAGGGATTTTTATCTGTACTGTATGGGAAAATCTCTCACCCTCAGCACAAGAAAATCTAGTCTTCAGCTTGAAGATAGCCCAGACTTGCTGGGTTTCTACAGACCAGATCCAAAAAGTGCCACAGGAAACCTTTGGCTTACCGTGGGGCTGTGGGCAAGTGTCCCATTCTCACTCTCAGCCCCTCCAGCTCCTCTCAGCCGTCAGATGCCCAGCCAGCTCGCTCCCTGCTGGTGAGAGCAGCTCTGTGAAGCTTGGTGAGCTGAAATCCTGCGTCCCTCCCTCCCACCCCAGCCGAGCTAACTGGGTAACCCTATGTAGTCAGTACACCCATATTCACCAATATTCACTTCTCTGCACCCTTGAAGTCGGGTGGGGCACGTGACTGGGAAAAACAAGTGCCATTTCCAGGGCTGTGGGTTTCACAGCTGGTGCTCTCCTGCTAGCCTCTGTCCTGTGCGGTGCAGGCTGAATCCTTGTTCACCAATGTTGGCAGCGCGGCACAGTCAAGCCATCTGGGCAGCAGGCTGAGGTCCACCTGCATCCATCGACCCACTCACTTACTCCTACTATGCCTGCTTCTGCTTCTGATAAATAGGAATAATCTCCACCCCTGCCCCCAGCACTTGTGTCGAAACAACAGGAGTCCCACTGTTGGTCTCCGTAAATTCTGTTTTGGAAACGACCTGGGTCCCCAAGTGGCTCTGATGAGTTGTCATAGTCCAACATATTTAACCCATGACGATGCCATGGCATGAGCAAGAGATCAGCCCATGTTGTATGAAGCTGCTGAGGTCATTGCCACAGTACACCTTGGTGGGCAAGCACCACAATCAAAGAGAAGGATCGGGATCTTACATTCGTTTTCTATTGCGGTGTAACACACCAGCACAGACTCAGCCACTTAAAACAACACATTCGTTAGCTCACATTGCTACTGGTCAGATGTCTCTGCTCAGGGTCCCACAAGAATGAAATCAAGGTACCGTTTGGGCTGTCTTCCTTCCTGGAGCACGGGTTCCTGTTCTGAGCTCACAGGGCTGTTGTGACTGCAGGACTGGGCCCTCACTTTCTCCCTGGATGAGGCCACTCGCGGCTCCCAGACGCCACCCGTGTTTCCTGCCCTGAGGCCCTCCCTACACAAGGACAGTTTGTTTCTTCAAGGCCAACAGAAAGAATGACATCTGCTGCTGCTTTGAGCCTCTGACCCTTGACTCTGACCTCCAGATCCTTTTAAATACTCACCTGCTTTTGTCAGGCCCACCCAGCACACGTGATCTTTTTTATTAATTTCAAGTCAACTGATTGAAAACCTAAAGTACTTCCACAGAATTCCTTCACCCTTGCAGCATAAAGTAACCTAATCATGGGAGTGAGGTTCCATCTATTCACATATCCCACAGATCAGCAGTAGTCATCTTAGAATTATGCCTACCACAGACATTTAAGAAAACATTCTGATGAATATTAGCTCTAGAAAATTTAGGATCCACCCAAAACTTTACACTAACTTCTTCCTTGCTCCCAAATAAGAAGCCCTCTTTAGTAAAAGGACTTTCTAAATCCTTTCTACTCAAAGTGTGGTCTGCAGACCGGCAGCATGAACACCATTTGTGAAAAATTCAGACCTAGAGAATCAGAATCAGTCACATATTCACAAGACTCTCAGGAGATGTGAAAGCACCATCTCAAAAGGCCCTTGTCCTGAACTAGCTCCCCCACAGGCTTGGCCCTGGACACGTCTCCTGAGGAAGGGGTTCTCAAAGTGTGGTCCCCTGACAGCAGCAGCAGCATTGCCTGGGCACGTATTAGAAATGCAGATTCTCAGGTGGCCAACCAGGACTTACTGAATCAGACACCCAGCCCTCTGTATATTCTTAAGCCCACCAGTGATTCTGATGCCGGCTCAAATTTGAGAAGCACTGGCCAAAGGCACTGTCATGATCAAGTGTCTCCCCTGTTGAAAGCCATGATGGTAACATGAAAAAGCAACCCGAGTCTGCCCTGCTTCAAATGTGTGGTTGCTAGAGGCCAACTCTGCTCTCCTGAGGGAGGGGAAGAGGGCTCAGGGTCCGTGGACGTTCTGGACCCCTCAACTCTAATTCTGGACAACCTCAGGCTTTGGAGGTTGGGGTGGGAGTGGAAATGTAGGAGGGAAGCCCTACTAGCAGGGCCAGGCAGGGGGCTCCCAGGCCAACTGAAGAGCCCTGGAGAGAGGACAGCTCCCCTGAGACATTCAGCTGAACTTCCTTTTAGGGTAACCAAAGGGAGAAAAAAGGAAAAGTACAATCCAAAGGGACAAGCTTCTAAATAAGGTCAGAAGAAAGGTGCTCTCCTGTGTCTGTGCATGTGGTAACGAGCAGGTGGGAAGGAAGCTCGCTGGCCTCAGGAGGGCAGAGCTGAAGAAATGGGCATGGAAAAGGCGACGGTGCAGGAGGTGGGATAGAGCACAGAGAGGGGGCTGGCAGCTCCCACTACAGCCACACGGCACTGGGGGGCTCCAGGAAGGTCCGGACACCTGGCTGCCTCTGCTCACCAAGAGGGAGCTCAGGGAAGTGTAGAGTCTTGAACAAGATCTTAGAGCAGAGTTGCAGGTGGGGGCAGAGGGGTCCTGAGGGGCTCTAAGAAGAGCAAAAACCCCAAAAGGAAATGGATTAAAGAGAAGGAGCTTCAAATAGTAAGAGCAAACTGTGTGCCAGGATTTAAGAGAGACAGAAAAACAGACAGAGAGAGGGACAGAGATAGAAAGAAACAGAGACAGAGAGATAGAGAGAAGTAGAGACAGAGAGAGACAGAGACAGAGACAGAGAGAGATCTGGGAGTCAGGACACCTGAGTCTGTTTCTGTTGGCGCCTCAGGCAACTTTTCTGATTTCTCCAGAACTCAGGTGTCTGATCTGGGTGCCCCTCCTTACCCGTGACCTTCTTCCCCGTGTGAGGGTGATCTTAAGGCCTGCATGTCTGATATTACTCGGTTTCATTGACCATACTTCTCATCACCCACAACCTTACTATTTGCAGATGGAAATACAGGCCCTGAGCAGTGAGCTGTCACACAGCTCATCCCAGGCAAGCTGGGCTCTGAACCCAGCCCAGTTCACCTCTGGGGACACACCGCGCAGCCCTAACCACACTCTGCCACCTCTCCCAGAAAACCACCCGAGAGCCAGGCACTAGAGAATCCACAGTGACTTTAGAACGTCAAACTGTTCACATCAGAAAATCTTATGAGGTTTCTAAGGAAGAAAGCCCCCCATTCAGCACACTTCCCATATCCACCCCCATTCAGCACACTTCCCATGCCCACCCCCCATTCAGCACTCTTCCCATGCCCATCCCCCCATTCAGCACTCTTCCCATGCCCATCCCCCCATTCAGCACTCTTCCCATGCCCATCCCCGAATTCAGTACATTTCCCATGCCCACCCCCCCTTCAGCACTCTTCCCATGCCCACCCCCATTTAGCACACTTCCCATGCCCACCCCCCATTCAGCACACTTCCCATGCCC